AAAACGTGGTTTAGTGAAAACGACCTGAGGCCCAAACCAGGCGGGCGCAAGCCTGGAAAATGACGGCCACGGCGCCCTCTCGAGAACCGAAAACGGACAATTCACTAATCGACGTGTCACTGTTGGGGGTTCTGTCCAGCCCCGAGAGAGGATGAGGACGCTCGCCATCGCTCGGAACTCCATTTCCCGTGCATTTGTCGGTGTCGTGCGTGGTGTTTTGTTGCTCGATGGTCCAGGATCGTCCTCGATGGTTCTCGCCGAGATTTCCTTTTTCGGTTTCGTGCGTGGTTTTTTGTTGCTCGATGGTCCAGGATCGTCCTCGATGGCTCTCGCCGAGAGACAAAAATATGCACGCGTCCGAGCGAGGCCATGGGGACGGGGGGAGCGAGGGCGGCACGGTCCCCGACCTTCCAGAGCGCCAGAACACAGAGCCCTCCAGACCTATCGATCTAGCTGCACCGCCTCGAGCCTCGACAGGGATCAGAACGTCGACGTCCTGGTGTTAATTTCCTAGCCCTCCTGGAACGTCAGGGAAGTCCCTGTCGAGGCTTGAGGCAGTCCGGCCAGATCTGCAGGTCTGGAGTGCTATGTTTTGAGTTGCTCGGTCTACTACATTCTGTTGGCACAGGTTTAAAATAAAAATAAAAATAAATGAATAAATAAAAATTATGAAAAAAATAAATTCGGAAATAAAAAATAAATTTACAAATACTTTAGGCATTGAAAAACATATCGAATAAAACTGCCGCTTATAAAATAAAAACACATATGTCATGCATATTGAATGAGCTGGCCGGAATGATACAATCGGAATGCAATATTTGCCACTGTGACCACCCAACTGGTTCAGAGTCATGGCGCAAGGGTAATTAACCCCATGCAGTTGGCTAGAGAAGCGCTGACACTATAAAGAATCATCCTCTCCGCCTTCCCCCTCGCCCCCCGTCCTCCTGTCTGCTAACTTCCCTCCCCCACCCCATTCTCCCGTCGCGCTATCCGTTGGCATCCTTCTGACTTTTGCGATCTAGAAATGTAGAATACGATTGGCCTGGCTCTCTGGTAGCTTGCGCCATCTACAGGTGGATCTTTGGATCTTTGGCCCCCGAGGAATACGAAACCGAAGACCGAAGACCGAAGACGTCGACGACAGCAGCGGCGGCAGCGACGACGCGCTAGACAACGACTGCGGGCAGGAAGCAGCGAAAGGACTCTTTTCCTTTCCACCCCACCAGCAATGGCAGCACGCCATTGCCATCCCCGGTGGCGCACCGTTGCCAGAAGTCCTATGTCCTATGCACCTATGCACACGCGCTGCAAAAGGAGACTGAGATAATATGAGATGTGGTCTACTTCTGATGCAACAAGACGAGCAGGACAGACACAATGAATACATCAAAGGAACAGCTGATAGAATGAGTGGGGACACGTTTGAGAAACGGAAGGGCTGATGAAAGCAAACGGCACACGTGGACATCGACACGTGGAAGGGGCGGCGGGGGGTGGCGGGGGGGGGGACGAGGGGGGGGAAAGACTGAGGGCGGCAGGTGGAAGCGGGGAACTTCAAGTGAGAAGCGAGGTAAAGGGCAAGGGGAAATGCGATGGTCAAACAAGGTGCGAGGAGGGGGGCGGAGCGGAGGAGGTGCGAGGTGAGAGGGGGCTCGGACAGAAAGATGAAGTTCAAAGGAGAGGGGGGCGAGACGAAGTACGGACGGGGGGCAGCGAACACGGCGGCTGAAACCTGAAACTGCCTACAGCGCATGGCCCCCGAGGCCTGGGGCCTGGGTCCTGAGACGATCCGAACACCTGAAAACCATGAAGTAGGGGCCGAAAGACAAGCGGCTACGGATCAGGGCCATCGCAGGGCCCAAGGCCCAAGGCCGAGACGCCGAGATGATGGCGACCAGGAGGATCAGAGAACAAACGTTAAGACAGGGGGTCAACGCGAGCACCCAGCCTCGCGCCGCCACCGATCTGAGGTCCGATGGTCGCGTCCACATCCAAGACATCCTTCCAGCTCCTCTTCCTCCCTCCCCCTCCGTCTCCTCCACGTCCTCCTCCTCCTCCCCCCTCATCCGCCCCCCCTCGTCCTCCTCGCGGCCCCTCGGAGGCCCTCAGGCCCTCGCTCTCACGACGGGCCAAGCAACATGCAACCAAGCGTCGAGCAGGCCCCCTCATCAGAGACCCTCGTCCTCCTCGCGACCCCTCGGCCCTCGGCCCGCGGCCCTCGCAAGGGCGATCAAGAATGAGATTCAAGCGGAACCCTTCCTCCGCTTCTTGATCCTCTCGGCCAGGGACGCCTTCGCCTCCTCTGGCAGCGGCCTCCTCCTCGCCTGCTCCTCCTGGCCCTCCTGGCCCTCCCCCTCTGCCGCTGCTGGAGCTGGAGCCACCGCGGCGGGCGGCGCTGGCGGCGCAGCCGCCGCCGGAGCCGGGGGGGGCGGCGCCGCCGCCAGCGGGGCGTCGGCCTCGGCCTCGGCCTCGGCGTACTTGCACGCCTCGAAGGCCGCCGCGTCACCACTGGCGAGACCGTCCAGGACCTTCGCCATGGACTCCGGCAGCTCGACCTGGCCAAAGAAAGGAGAAAGGACCGAATCGCCAATCCGAGAACAAGGAGCAGGCGGGGAGGAGGAGGAGGAGGAGGACGACGACGACGACGACGATGACGAGGACGAGGGCGAGCGAAGGGCGGAGGGTGCGAGGAGGAGGAGAAGGAGGAGCCTCAGGAGGAGGAGGAGGAGGAGGAGAAGGAGCAGGAGGAGAAGGTAGAAGAAAAGGAGGAGGAGCAGCAAAAGGAAAGCGAAAGCGAAGATGGTTGCGGAGGACGTCGAGGGTCGAGGAGGCGAGAAAATAAGGAGGACCACGATGAGGAGGATGACGAACATGAGGAAGATGTGAGGAGGAAGGAGGAGCAGGACAACCACGACGCGGACGACCTTGTGCTTGCCGAACTTCTCCTTCACGCTCTCCACCAAGTCCTTGACCTTCTCCGCCGGCTGCTCGCTGCTGATCCCCTTCGCCAGGTGCCAGGCCGCGAATGCGAAGCAGAACGTCTCCACCCCGATGTTCGACGAGTCCCTCAACTCCTTGACGGTCCTAATCGGCACAATCGGAGCATGGCCATCGGCGTGCAAGAACTTGATCAGCTTGTGCATCTCCCTGGCTGACGAGCTGAGCGGCGCGATCTTCTGAAGTTTATCCCTGGGCCAAGTAGCGAGCTCCAGAATCGCACCGCGGTTCTCCACGAGCGAGTCGCGACACTCCCGCCACTTGCATGGCGACGCGTCGCGGAGCTTGCCGAGGAGCTCGAGGGCCTGCCTGGTGAAGACATCCTCGCACAACTTCTCGTAGCCGAGCGCGTCAGCAAACAAACTGTCCGAGAGCCCCTGCAGCTGGACGGCGTCGTCCAGGACGTCGACGTGCCCAACGCGAACCATCTTCTCGAAGCAACTCATGGTGCGCTCGTGTGCCAAAGTGGTCTTCAGGGTCGCACGCCACGAACGCATGCGCCGGTAAAGGTCAAGCGTGTCCTTAGTCCACATCTTTTCCCAGGGGGCGTCGGGATTGGCCTCGACCACGCGCCTGTGCACCTCCACGTTCGCAAGGGACCCGATGAAGCTGAGAAGCTGTGACAGGACGCCCAGCTGAAGCGTGAGCACCTTGTCCTTGTTGTCCGTGCTGAGCTGCATCGCCCTGTTGAACTCTTCGGACTCGAACTGCGCTGAAGCAATACGCGTGAGGCAAGGCGACGTCAGCTCGGAGAACTTGATGGAATTGCACCCTGGCCCTACGGCTGTCCTGAAGTGGGCTAAGATCGGCCGCAACGCAGTCGCGATAGTGGCGTCGGCTCCGTTGCGCAGAGCCTGCATAAGCGCAGACTCCTTGGCAAGCAGGGGCGAACCCTTCAGGCTCTGTGCCATGTCTGCGCATGCAGGGTCTTCTGGCACCTCCAATACCGAATTGGCCGCCAGCGCAAGCTTCGCGAGCTTGGACCTGGATGCGTCGTCGGACTCGGAGGCGGGGAAGCCGAGCACCCCTGCAACGTCGCGAAGCCAACTTGCCGCCTGTCGGGCGTCAGGAAGATGAGAAGCCCTGCCCCGCGCGACCGACAGGCCCCCTGCCAATCGGACACCTCAGGACAAGGTTTCCCAGCTTCCAACGCCCGAACCTTGATCATCCAAACGCTGGCCTTCCACTCCGACGTCGATTGGACCACGCCGGGCATGCCCTTCAAGACCTCGTAAACGTTCATGCTGTGCTTGAGGTCGAGCCCCGAACCCAACGAATCTATCCAGGCCGTCAGGTCCCCAACGGTGGATGAAATCTTGCAGACAGGCTCAAGAACACTCCGCATCGCCTCGTAAAGCTTGGTCGTCACGGTGCCAGTGATCAACTCATCGGCGCTCGGTAACAAAGTAGCATGGCAGTCGAAGGAGCGGCTTTTCTTCAGGACATCGCTCATCTCACGCAGCTTCTCAGTCAAGAACCCTGCCACCTCTGGAGTGCACTGCGCCAAACTATAGCATCCAACCAAGGCGCCCTCGACCGACTTCGCGATGTCCTGGAGCTTGGTAAGGCAGTCTTGGGTTAGTTTGGTCTTCGCCAAGTCGGACTTCAAGCTGGCAACGTAAGTCTTGCCATGAGGATGCCCAAGCAGGGCCTGCATGGCAACTGCGTTCGCCTCCTTGGCCTTCTCGAATATCTCCGCCGCTGACTCAAGCATGTCCAAGCGGTCTGACACTGACATGTCCTCGAGGCAACTGTTGGTGGTCAATGCGGCCACGAACTCCTCGTTGGTCTGCGACAAGCGGACATCACGCTCGTCTGTGAAGAACGCATTCGTGGACGCGGCAGCCGCCTACCCAAGGCCCAAGGCTCGATGCCAAGTGTCACGCTGCCTGCCCCCGGTCGCCCACCCACCCCCATGTCTCCCTCTCACCCCCATCGTTCTGCAGCGTCTCCACCCCGTCCTCCTCCTCCTCCCTCCCCGCTCTCCTCCTCCTATCCCCCCCCCCCCCTCCTCCTCCACCTCCCCGTCCTTGTCCCCCTGATCCCGCCGCTGAAACAGCCGAAAACCCGAGCGGGGGAGAAGGGGGTCAGGCGGTGCAATTAACCTAAGCCTTGGGCCCTGGGGTCCTTGTAGCTGCTCTGCTTCAGAAACGACATCACGCGCTCGCCCAGGAGCCTGTCCTGCTCGGCGCTCACATCGATCACGCCGTTCGCCTCCAAAGACTCGTTGGAGATCATCTGGAACCACGGGTCGGGCAACGACATGGCACCTATACGCATGCGGCGGCGGGACCAGAGAACGTGCGGTGGCCAAGCGACCTCCACCAAAAGCTCAAGCTGGCATGACGTCTGCTGCATGTCGAACTCGTCGGCGAACTCCTTCGTGTCCAAGCCGTTGATGCTGCCGATGTTGATGATGTTATAGATGGCAGTCGTGTGCTTCAAGATGCACCGCATCTTCAAAGTCTCATCCTCATCCGCAGTCTTCTTGAGCCGATCCTGCGCGTCCTTGTTCAACTTCTCGAACAACTTCATGCCCGTCTTCGCCTCGGCGCCCCAATACAACGGGGATGTGTGCGGCGCCTCGTTGAACTCAGTGGCCATCTTCACCATTTGCGCAACCAAGTCCTTCGGCTTCCTGCCGCGGGTCTCCGCCTTGGTAATGCCGCCATTCTTGCCTTTCGCCTTGGCCTTGAACTTGGGCGCTGCCTCTGAAGCGTCGGCGTCGGCAGCCCCAGACCCAGCCTGCCCACCGCCTTTCTCGACCGACGATGGTTCTGGCGTCGCGGCCGCGCCGGGGGCCTGGGCTGGCGCTGGCGTCTGGGGCGCGGCAGCTGCCTTCGCCTGGGCCTTGGCTTTCGCCTGCGCGGCAGGCGGCGGGGCCTGCCCAGCTGCGGCGGCGCCCCCAGCGGCCACAGCAGCGGGGATGGCGCCGACCTTGGAAGCTCACAAAGAAGGCGCACATACACACGCACACACACACACATACACACACACACACACACACACACACACACACACACACGCACGCACGCACGCACGCACGCACGCACGCACGCACGCACGCAGGCACGCAGGCACGCACGCACGCACGCACGCACGCACGCACGCGCGCGCACGCACGACCGCTGACTACTTACAAAGGCCAGGAATACCCTGCAAGATAAGAGCAGCAAACATCTCTGGACTAACTGATCAACCTTCCTCCTCCCCCTGACCCAGAGACCAGAGACCAGAGACTCCAAAGCTGTCGAGAAGTTTCATGGCAAGCCCAAGCCCGAACCTCCGTCGAGCCCCCGAGCAGGCCGCTATGCGACGTGGAAGCACCCTTGCCAAGAGAAGAGAAGCTGCCCGCGATGCCCCGCAAGTTCGACTCCATCTCGTCTGTTGTCAAGAGGTCCGTGCCATCGCTGCTCCTGCGTTCCTCCTCCAACACCCCCTGCATCCGTTCGTTGAACTCGATCCTCGTGATGGGAGCGTCTGGGATGAGCACCCCCCTCTTGCCCTCGAACGTGAACTCCCTGTGGCCTGCCGCCTGCCCAGCGACGTTAGCGTAGAAATCGCCGTGGATGGACGTGTAATAATCCCACTCGAGGTGCTGCCATCCTGGCCTTTTGACGACTGTCTCCATCATCTTAACTGTCTTCAGCGTTATCTTCTGGATCTCCTCCCAGTCCAGCTGGCTGTTGCGAATGAACCCTTTCTGGACCACGCATTCGATGACATTAGAGATCATTGTCGTGTGAATGTTCAGCTGCTTCTCGTTGGCTCCGAGCGACGACTTGTATGATGCCAAGGACAGCCCCTGGGCCTTGACGCGGCTCGCCCAAATGCGCTTACAATACCCACACGTGGTGCCCTGCGTAGTCCCATCTGGATGCGGTGGGTACCCCCACCACATCTGCTCCTTGACAGGAGGTGCCATCTGCAGAGATACTGGATCATCCTGGTGGTCGGTGAACTTACACGTGTCGCACTTCCTCCCGCAAGGTTTCAAGACCATGTACTTCTTCTTCGTCCACGTCAACGCGACGAAGGCGACTGCGCTGCCCTCTCGAAGAGAGAATCCGAGAGGGGGCGACGCGTCAGACGACAGACGTGAGACGTGAGAATACCGAAGGCCAGGGAGGAGGGCCAGGTGGAGGAGGAGAAGGAGGAGAAGCGACGGCTAAGAGAAGAGGAGCGGCGGGAGCAGCGAAAGAGCGAAACCTCCTGGATCTCTGCGGGAAGGGTGGGCGGGGGGAAGGACGGAACGAAACGAGGCGGCAAAGCGGGCTGTCCTCACCCAGGGCCTCCCCGCGCTGTTCAGATAAGACGACGCTGGGGGTCGCCCTACTCTTCTTCTGCTTCTTCGCCGGGAGAATCTGCTGGCACGGGCCCTTCATGACATCGAAGGGGTTCCCCTCCACGTCTGCAATCATGGTTGGTCTCGCGCAGAGACCTCTGTAAAAGACAGGCCGGCGAGCTGCCGCCGCCAGCCCCGCGGCGCGGCGCCCAGAGGCCTGAAGGGCGCGAAGGCCCCGGGTCTCGGCCTGGAGACAAGGCCACAAGAGACCCCAGCCAAACGGCTGAGACGGACGCGACGACGACGTGACGGTGTAAGGAGGGCACATGCGGGCTACGATGACATCGTTGCACATAGATCCGAGACAAGCAGCCCTGCTCGACCGCGCCCCAAACCCTGGGACCCCTCGAAACATTTAACTTTCAACGCTGGCGCGCATCTAACGCGGACTTCAAACCCATACGGAAAGGGAAGCGCCACGAGCGCGGTCTAGCTAGATCACATGTAAATGCTGGCAGGCGCCCCTGGGGCCCAACTCCACGAACCTCCGAACCTCGTAGCATGCATGGCAATCCAATTGATGAAGCATATGTGGCATAGATGATCAACTTACGAACGACATCGGAATGTGCCTGGGAAAAGCTATGCAATCTCAAACAGCGGGTTCGCGTTGCCGCGTCCGCGTCCGCCAGTCTCCCTCCTGCATCGTCGTCTTCAGCATGAGCCCTCATCCCTCATCCACGCGAGGAACTCCCATCGAGCAAGCTCTGAATGCAACTCTGAAGCGACTTGACGTAGCAAACTCTTTCCAGAGGAGAGCGGGCGGCGGCTTTTGGCTGGCAGGCGCAGGCATGCTGGCATGCTGTTGACGACGCGCAGCACGCAGCACGCGCTGCTCCCAACAACGCAACAACGGGTCTTAGCTCTTCGCCGCATAACAACATCGCACAGAGCACATTAGCGACTAGCGGCGGGCGGCGGGCGGAAAACAACAAGCCTAAAAAACTACTCAACGTCCGTCTCCAAATCCTGATCTCCTCAGCCTCCCCCGAACCTACAAAACTATGGCAACAATGTCCGCTGCGCCCCCGCCTGCAAAAAAAAAGAATTGCATTGTGCCAGCGTGTAGCCATTCTCAATCAGCGATAACAGAGGTGCGATTCTTGGCGAGGGCGATTTGCGGATTCCTCGGTTCTGGATGGGGGGGAAGGGGGAGGGGACTTCCGCCAGGGTCTCGGGGGCGGGGATAGGGAGGCACACGCCGCATGCGGGCACACACTGGCACAAAAGCAAGGCAGTGCGCAGACGGAGATTCAATTCAATGCACGGTGAAAACCACACAAAAACGAGACGTGCGGGATTCAAATTCTCAAGGAGCCGGGTGGGTTCCAGCTGGCTTCGCAATGACGTGATCTGCGAGGCGACGCTGCCAACTCGGAATTGGGGCCCCTCCGCGCCCAGTTCAAAAGCCTTCGGAACTGCGAAGTGCGAGCCCGTCGCGCCCAACTGCTGGACCACATGCTGGCTCAACTGCTTCAGTCTGCTGGCTGGCTCAACTGCTTGCTGGCTCAACTACTTCACGCTCTCGCTAGGCCACTGCGAGGAGGCAGCTCTTCGGCCCAAGCCCTGGCGCGCGAATCGCGATAATTGACTGTTGGAGGGACGCGTTGCGCTGCCATGCCGCCTGGCCCCCCCCCTGATCATCCCGGCGCGCTGTGCAGGGGGTGCGGGAGTGGCCAGGCAGAAAAGCGCAGCATCACCTCCCCACAACAATCGATAACTGCATCAATGAGGTCGTTCGGCAACACCCCTGAGCCAAACGAGCGCCCCCACCGTCGATGATCGCGGCTCGCGGCTCGTGTTTTCTATTTAAGACCTGGAGAGGGCCAGGAGAGGGTCAGAGGGGGCCCCAAGAACCAAGAAACCTCTCGCGAAGCAACCTTCGAGCTGGCAACTCTCTGGCCAAAGCCTCGACGCGCGCGTCGCGATTATCGACGGTTCGGCGCCGGGGTGCGTCGGGGGGCGGGGGCCCGCGAGGGCGCGCAGCTCCGCCCTGTCGCCCGACCCACGCCCCTCGCCCCCAAGGACGACGCGCGATGCGCGATGCGCTGCGCAGGCAAGAGGTCATGGGCCAGGCAGCAGGGCGAGGCAGCAAGGGGCCCCCGCGACATCCTGATCCCCCCCCCTCCTCGGTTTCAACCGATCTCCAAGCCAGATCCTCCACTTCCTCCTCCTCATCCTCCTCCTCTTCGCCCTCCTCCCCCCCTACCCCCGCCCTCCCCCTCCCCCTCCCCCATCTCCTCCTCCTCCTCCCCCTCCCCGCCCCTGTCCTCTGCCCCCCTGCCCCCATCCTCCCCCCCCCCCCTCCTGGTTAATCCTTCAAGCGCAACCGGGCGGCCGCGCCGCCTATGTCCCATGTCTTTAGGCCGACGGCGGGGCGCACAACGCCGCCGACGATCTCGGGCCTCAGGCTGGCCTCAGGACTGCTGGAACTCGAGCCCCTGCGGGGTGAAGATACGCACATCACACCTCACATGCCCACCGCGGGTGGACCGACCTTTCTGGACGCAATATGTATATATATACATACATACATACATACATACACACATACATATATGATATATCCGTTCTTGGTGGGGCCGAATATCTTACGAACATAAGATATATTCGACTCCACCGATAACTGATGCATCATATATCACGCGTCTCCGCCTGGCCCAGGCCCAGGGGCCCAGGAAGGGCCAGGGCCCAGGACAAAACAAAAGTCTAACGCATCGACTCCACGCGCGATGGGCGATGGACGTGCATATCCTCGCCCGCGCCCTGCCGGCAAATCGCACTTGAAGGCCCCCATGCCGACGCGCCAGCCGAAGCACATGATCTTCTGAAAGCGGCTCTCAATCGCCATGGCCTCCCAAGGGTGCCGATGCCGATGCCCGACGCCGCTGACCCCTGCACCCCAGGGCCCCTGGGCGTCTCCCCGAGCGCGTTCTGACCAGACTTGCGAAGCGAATCCAAACGCAGCAACGAAGGATCTCAAGGATCAAGGACAACCCAGCCCAGCGGCATCGCGCATCGGCGTCGTTCCCCCTCTGCCCTCTGCCCTCTGCCCTCTGCAAGCCTCCAAGTAGTTCTCGCGTGGGGCTCTGGGCACGTCGTGCTCTCGGTGCGGGCGGAGGTCGAACTGGTCGACGAAGGCGATCTCGTCGCCAGGCCCCTCATCATACTCGCAAGCGTTGTCAGCGTCGATCCGCCCGCCGCGGCGCCGCGCCGCTGCCGAAGCGTGTAAAGGCGAGCTCTTCTCGATCATTCGCCCCCCCCATTCCATCCCCCACCCCCGCCCACCATCGACGCCCCCCCTATCCCATGGCCTCCACATTTTCTCCACCACCCCATCCACCCTCCATCCCCCATCCTCTATCAGCCCAACGGATAGTCACCCTTTCGCCCCTGAGGGATGGGCGGCGGAGATGCGCGAAAGCGCGAAGTCGGATGGAGCCTGGCGTCGAAGGGCAGCGCTCCTGGCCGAAGTCGTGGAACGTCTCCTTGGGGGGGGAGATCACATGGATGGCGCCGTGGCCACGCTGTCGCAAGATCTCGCCAACATCGGTTTTGGCGATTTCGAGCTCATACCTCGATCGCCTTGGATGGCGATCGAGGTATGAGCTCGACACAGCGGCCACGACGCCATCCATGATCCACGATCTGCCCTGTCCTCGCGCTCGGCATCGTCGAGCCGCGGACCCTGCTCGATCAGCTCGTCCTCCTCCTGGCACTCCTTGATCGTCTCGCGAAGGGTCTCGCCGATCTGCTCCATGATGTTCTCGCGGAGCTGTCCTCAGAGGAGAGCGATGGGGGGGGATAATAATAAGAGAGTAAGGGCCCAAGACTGAGAGAGGGACGGGATGCGACGAGCAGGAGAAGAGAGCAGAATGAGGGGGGAAGGAGCGGGAGAGGTGGAGGGCGGGGGGAGCAGAAGGGCCCTCGCTCCCACTCGCGCAGCCCCTGCAGACGCTGCTCCTCCTCGTAGGCCTCGAGCGCCTCAGCGGTCGCCTGCTCCGGGTGGAAGATCGCCATGCTCTTCTCGCCCCAAGCCTTCCACTCGGCCTCCGTGTAGTCCTAGGAAGGCACCAACTATACACCAACACCGATCCTGGCCAGGATCACCCTGGGCCCAGGATCGGTGCATACGCCCTCCTGCCTTGGGCAAGAAGGCATATGCACCGATCATGGGCCCAGGGTGATCCTGGGCCAGGATCGGTGTTGGCGTATAGTTGGTGCCCTCCGCCGCCTCGACGAGCTCCTCCGCCTCGTAGTCGTCGTCCGCCGCGTCCTCCGCCGCCTCGACGAGCTCCTCCGCCGCCTCGACGAGCTCCTCCGCCTCGTAGTCGTCGTCCGCCGCGTCCTCCGCCTCGAGGAGCTCCTCCGCCTCCGCCTCCTCGTAGGCGGCCTGCGCCCACTTGTCCAGGCCCACGCGCCACGGCGACCTGGAGCGGCTGCGACAGGGCCGCCGCTGCGACACGGTCATCGCCGGAGCTGAGACGGGCCGCCGCGGGCCGCGGGAGCTACGCACCTCAACCGAAATGTGCTGCGTCAGGTTCGTGTCGCGACGACCCCGGCGTTGGTTTCTGACTCCGCGTGGATCGTTCAACCTTGACCGATCGGCGACTGTGGATCGCTCGATCGTTCCATATAAGCCGATTCTGGGCCACTGGCGGCGTTCAACCATGAACGCCCGCGGCGGGGTCGCCGCCGGTCGACACGACGCGAACCCACCGTATTCGAGAAGGCAATCCAGAAAACCCCACTGCCCAGAAAAAAAAAACAGGAACGCTGGAACCTTCATGGCCCCCCCCGATTTCCACTGCTGTCCAGAAGAACCTCCAAGAACAAAGAACGCGAGAGACTTCAGGACCGAAACGAAACCCGTGAGAACGACGCGCGACTAGCTTCGCTCCCTCCCCTGCTCCTCCACCTCCTGTCCACTCCTCCTCCTCCTCCTCCTCCTCCTCCTCCTCCCCCATCCTCCTCCTCCCACCCTTCCCTCCTCCTTCTCTCATCCTCCTCCTTCTCTCCTCGCCCTCCGCCCCCTTCCCCGCACCCCCGCCCCGCGCGCAGTTTGCCCCGAGGGCGCGCCTGGGTGGCGATGGGGAGGAGGAGGAGGAGGAAGGCTTATCTCTCTGGAAAACCGAGCTCATCTGATTGGAGTGGGGCCTTAAGCCTTAAGGAAGCGATCGCACGCGCTGGTAGGTGAGATGGCGGGGCAAGTAGAGCTGAGTAGCACGGCACAGTACCATCGAGCAGCATAGCGGGTGGGCGGCTGCACCTCGGCCCAGCGGTAGACGAAGAAGAGGGGGAGGGGCAGGGGGGGGAGGAGAGGGAGAGGAGGAGGGGCAGGAGGAGGAGGAAGGGAAGGATGGGGGGAGGGGGAGGAGGAGAAGGGGAGATGGGGACCTGAGCCAGATGATGAGGGGGAGGGGGGGCCAGAGCCCACGCCGATCAAAGGCCTTACCATTCAGCATGTCGCAAAATCCCCATGACACTGAGGCCCCCCTCTCTCTTTCGTCGGCTCTGGACCCTACAGTTCGGGCCAGAAAGAGCGACGACGACAAGACGACCAACCGTTGAGACGAACAGCATGATAATGATGTTAGCACACGGGCCACATGGGGGGCAGCCCAATAAGGATCCGCCCGCCCCGTCTGACCGAGCACCGAACAAACACCTCGGGCCTCCGCACTAATCGGACGAGGTGCTGTCGTCGCTCGAATCCGACCCGTCGCCCTCAGGGTCGACGCCAGCCTTCGTCGCGTCCTCGGACGCACCCACATCGTCGGCGGCATCGACGCTGGACAAATCCACCACCTGCGCTGGCACGTACTTGCCCGACGTCGCAATCAATGCTGTCCTGACGGCGGCGTAGGAGTACGCCGACCACGCGTTGCCCGCCATGTCGGCGATCAGGTCTGCGTAAGAGGCCTGCGTGAGAGGCGGGTTGAGGGCGTGCATCGCGCTCTGGCTGAACAACTGCATCTCGCAGAAAGAGGAGCCCCAGCCGATGCACCGCAAATACTCCACTGGCTCCAATAACCTCACGACGATAGCACCATCATAGGCATACCTGACTGCAATCTTGCCACTGCCGATCAATGTGCCAGGTGTCGGCCTCCACGGGCTTTTCTTGAAGCGCTCGTACTCCGAGTCGGGCTCCACGCAACCCTGAAGGAGACGCGGCAGAGAAGTGTTGATCTCGATGAACTCGGCATACTCAGCACCGTTCGCAACATCGAATGGAAACCTCCAGTGCAAGAAGGCCAAAGACTCCCGCTCTCTCGCATACAACCCATCTGGGGGTACGTCCGCACCGCGTGGCCCATCCCAATTCACGGGCCACTCGAAGCCACTCGCAGTGAAGATCTGGTGGTGGTCCGTCTTGTAGTTCGGCTCGCTGGCCTGCCGGGCGCAAGATAACGGGGGGGGAACGAGTCTAGACGCACGGGGGCCAGAGCTTTCAGATCAGGGGTGGGGCCCTGCGGCCCTGGGGTCCTGAGGCCCTGGGGCGGCCAACCTGGGAACCGATCCAACTGCCAATCCCCCGAACTTGATCCACGCACCGTGGCCTTCGGGCCTTTCGACTGGTTCGACATCAGGCCCGTGCCTGCATAAACTGGGAGGCCGCATGAGTCCGAGATACCCTCCCTGAGCTGAGTCTTCTTTATCAAGAACACCTCATTGCACTGGGCGGGCGTCATCTCACCGACGTTGAAGGCATGCAGGATGTCCAAGAAGAAGTGGCTTGCCTCGACGTACTTCTCCTTCGGGATGCCCCTGACAGCGGCCCAATAAATACGCTCGCGCGGCACTGGGGACCCCTGCTTCAATGCCTGAACCACCGTGTCGATGCACCAATAGCCCCGTTCGGACAACTGCTGCGTGATCCAAGCCGCGTCCGATATCAAGCAACCTTCGCCGACCTGCATTAAATTGACGACGCACTCCATCAATACTTCTTCTGGCCAATTCTTCTCCACGATCTTGAAGATGCAATTGACGGCCTTGCCTGTCTCGGCTGTGTCTTTCTGGCAGCAGTTCAAGTTCTCGCGACACTTGGCACTCAAGGGCGTGCGGCTCTTGCACGGAAATCCGACGTCAAAGCTAACGAAGTGGGGGGCCACCCTATCCGTGCCAGAAATGCAATCACGCACCATGTCCTGCTGAAGGCCCTTCATGTCCCCAACGATGAAAGTAGCATCATTGAACATCTGTCTGATGAATAACGGCTTCTTGATATTGATTTCAGACCGCAAGCAATGTACACTATCGACCCTCGAATCAAAGTGAGTGAAGTAGAACGCGTTCAACAAGCCGTCGACCTTCGCCTTGATATCGCAGCCCGTGCACGCCGAAGCACGCGTCACAAGGCCACCAAAGCGAACCGAGTAGTTTCGCACCGCCTCCTTCAAAGCCAACAACTTAAGGGGTGGCAAGCGGTCGATAACCATGTCCAAGACACTCTGAAGGTGGCTCTTGCACGGCTCCTCGTCAATATAAACCTCACCACCGTTGCATGATGTAACTACCTCGGGCGGCCCCCTCTCAGCGAGCCGCTCCTGCTCGGCTGGCTGCGCCTCCTCGGCGGGCTGGGGGGCGGGGAGCTGAGCTGGCGACGGCAAGCGACGGTGTGACGACGACCGCCCGGCCCTGCCCCCAGGCCGACCAAGGTCCCAGATCCTGGCCCAGAGACCCAGAGACCTCCCAGAGACCAACTCCAAGGCGAACCTGAACTGCCAAGCCGCCGAGCCCAAGACACCCCATACCAGGCACCTACCGAGTCCAAAACACGGAGCGTCACCCCGCCACGCCATCCTACCTCCTACCTCCTCCACCTCATCCTGCAACTGCTGCTGCTGCGCCTCTACCACATCCACCCTACTCCGCTGCCACTGCAGCCAACCAGCACCCACCCACCCACCCCCATTTGGCCAAACTGGCGGCCAAGCGGCGAAGCGACGCGGGCGCCGTCCTGCTCGGCCCCAGCAGCGCTGCCGCTGTCGGCCTCGGAGTCCGTCGGCGCCTCCTGGGCTGGGCGGCAACGCGGGTGGGGGCCGAGCGGGTGGGGTGATTTAAAAGCGGGCGGGAGCTGAGCGGGCGGGAGCTGAGCGGGCGGGGTGGATTAAAAAAACGGCGGTTATTTCACCGAAAGAGGAGTGATTCAGACAACCTCTGATTTATTTTAAAATCAATAAATATTATTTAAAACTATTTTAAATTATTTAAAAAAAGTATTTTTGAAAATACCGGAAAATACCGGCATGAAAAAAAAAGTAGCGAATGTATCGAGGAAACCTACCCCCGAAAATGCCGGAAAATACCGGGAGAAAAAATAAAAATAAATTATAAAAATAAAATTTAAATAATTTTGAATAATTTAAAAATAAACCACGCTTTCTAAATTATTTGGCGCAGCTTCAGGATCTGGAGAAAAAAAACAACGCTTTCTAAAGTATTTGGCGCTGCGTCAGACTCAGGAAAAAAAACTATCGGCCGGTTGCAACCCGATGAATTTCCCCCCAATAGGCCACCATGAAGCCTCTGGAAGATTCTGAAATTAGATCGCCGAGGCGGCTGTGAACATCAGCTAGACGAGAAGCTTGGTCAGTACGACGGAAGAGAGGTGACTCCCCTGGCCCTGCTGCTGCTGCTCCTCACCCTCCCCCCCCCCCCCTGCTCCTCCCCCCCCCATCCCCCTCCTCCTCCTCCTCCTCCTCCTCCTCCACCTCCTCCTCCTCCTCTTCCTCCTCCTAGTCCTTAGCCTCTCCCTCCTCCTCCTCCTCCTCCTCCTCCCCCTCCTCCTCCTCCTTCTCCTCCTCCTCCTCCTCCTCCTCCTCCTCCTCTCCTCTCTCCTCCTTCTCGATGGGAGGGGGGCGGCATGTTCCTGCTGCTGTGTCCGATTATCCTCCTCCTCCTCCTCCTGCATCTCCTGCTCCATCTTTTTATATCCCTCACCATCCTCCTGCTCATGATCAAAGTCTTCCTCCTCGTCGTGGATCGTGGTCGTCATCGATGTCCTTCACCTCCTCCTCCCCCGATTCCTCTTCCCCCCTCATCCTCCCCCATCCCCTATTCATCCTTGTCGGTCATCCTCAACTCCCGCCTCCTCATCCCCCCTGTCTTCCTCGCGTCGCCCCCCCCCCCCCCCCCCCCCCCCTCACCACCGTCCTCACCGCGCCCCCCTCGCCCCCCCCCCCCCCCCCCCTCCCCCCCCCACCACCGCCACCACCACACCACCACCACCACCACCACCACCGCACCACCGCCACCACCCCTCCGACATCGACCATCGACCATCGACATTCATTGCGCGCGTTGTGCACCCCACGCTCCGTCACATAAAGGCAACCACATCGTTGAACGACGCGTATGTGGCGCCGCCAACGATGTAGAAGCCAGTAGCCCCGATCGGGTCGTGCTAGTTGTGCTCCGCGTATCGTGCGCGGGGGGCGGAGGGCGCGCCGATGTCGCGTTTCCCCTCCCCCACCCCGCGCTAATAACAACAGCAGGCGCCTACGAGCCTACGAGCGCAACCGAGCATTTGCAACGGCGGGCCTGCGCCAATCTGGCGCCGCCCCACTGCAAGCAAATGCAACGCGAGGTCTCGTGAATCGGCGGCGGCTGCAACGCCCGTTCGGCGTAAGTGTTTTTTATACACTCGGGTGGTACGAGGAAGCCCCTGGGAACCCAATCTGCCAGATCGGGGCGCGCTGTAAAATATGGCAGGTGGAGCATTCGAGGCTCAAAGACCTTGGGGCTCGGGGGGCAGCGCGCCCCTTGAGGCCCAACAGGCCTCTTTCGCATCGGGTGCGGCATGGCCTGCCGCGGGCCTCGGGATGCGACGGCCGCCTTGAGCCAACGCTACCAGGGTGTTCTGCATCATCATCACAACACATAGCATCACACGCGCGTCTTCCCATGCCTTTCCTCCTCCTCCTCCTCCCCCTCGTCCTTCTCCTACTCCTGCTCCTACTCCTACTCCTACACCTCCTTATCCTCCTCCTCTTCCTCCTCCGCATGCTCCTCCTCCCTTATACCGCCACCTCGGCGGCTGCAATCGCACTGAAGCGGCCTGGGGACTTGAGAACACGACACAAAAACCTGGGGGCTACAAGAACCATGGAAACCGTGAGACCTGGGTACCTGGAAATCGTGGATCGTGGGCGGCTTGTTGGCCGCGCCCCCCCATCTGTCACCCCCCTGCCCCCTCTCCTCCACCACGGCATCCCCCTGCTCACGCGGAGTCGTCACCTCAGCGCCGCGCGCCGCGCAACAACCTCAAGCACTGATAAACTCACTACTCAAAATGCTGCGCTTGCCCTGGCGCCTCGGGAATCGCATTCTGCGACGCAATGATCGGTTGGACCTGCTACGCAAAAATGAAGCTCTCACCCTCACCCCGCACACGCTCGCACGCAGCGTGCGCAGCAGGTAGAAGAGTCGATCACGCGACGCGGCGGCTTGGAGAACTGGCAATAACCAAGAAGGAATAGTTAGTGAGACCGCGGTCTGGAATCCTGGTACCTCTGACCTCTGACCTCTGAACACATCGGGACTCTGCGACGGCGATTGGCGACGACGATGACGATGACTGATGAATGACGAGCACCAAGCACCGATACGACTACACTCCGACACGACGCACGACGCAAGGGTCCTGCACCGACGGGGTGGCCGTGCCGCCCACACCGCCGGCACCCGGGCTTACAGGGTCCTCGTCCGCGTCGTCAGACACCGCCCCGAGCTCCGTGAAATCAAACTCGGCGAGGTCTTTGACGGCGGTCGCGCCTGCCAGCCCGCGGCGAGGCGACGCGGCTGGCGACAGACCTCTCCCTCATCACTCGTCCTCAACGCGTTCGACGGGCGACCTGCAACCTGCGACCTACCGAGGGGGGAATGAGACGAGCCCCCGTCTATCCATGATCTTGCCCCTCGCCACCTACTCCTTATCATCCTCTATCCACCGACTCATGTCCTCCTCCTCCCCCATCGTGGTCCACCGCCTCCTACGCTCCGCGACGCATTCGCCGTTCTGGCGGTACTCTGGGGCACCAGAGCAGCGAACTAGATTCTAGTTCGCCGCTTTGAAAGCGCACTGGGGGTACCAGAACGACGAACTATATTCTAGTTCGCCGTTCTGGCGGTACCCCTGGGACATCAGAGCGGCGAAATAGAATATAGTTCACCTTTTTTGGGGCGCCCAGAGGGCAACGAACTAGATTATGATTCTCCGTTCTGACGGCGGAACGGCGAACTAGATTCTAGTTCGCCGTTTTGCCCTCGCCCACCGCCTCCCACACCAAATTTTTGGACGCGTCGCAAGGCTAAGCGCTAAGCAGCGGCAGACGCGAAGTCTCAAAGGGGCTTATATCTGAAAATGTCACTCGCATGGCCCTCCCTCCCTCCCTCATCCTTCTCTTCCTATGCTGCCTGCTTGTCGTCCCGCTGGCGCTGCTGCTGCTGCTGCTGCTCGTCGTCCCGCTGCTGCAGCTGCTGCTGCTGCTCCTCCTCATGCCTCATGCTCCTCGCCCTCATCCTCATCCTCATCATACTCGCTGCTGCTGCTGATCCTGCTCCTCATCTTCATCTTCATCCTCGTCATACTCGCTCCGACCCTACCGCCGACGCGACTCTGCCTACGCCCCAATGAAGACCCCCCCCCCTCCCGCTCCTCCCGCCCGAGCTTCGCCTGCGGCCAAGTCGCGAGACGCGTCCAGGTCCTTGGACTCGGAGGCGGCGGGCTGCTGCGACTGAGGCGGTGGAGGTGACGGGCTGGTCGAAGGCTGGGGCGGCTCAAGCTGAGGCTGCGCTGGCGGCTCGCATGCCGGGGGCGACAAAGGGGGCTGCTGCGGTTGACTGCAAGCGAAAGCCGTGCTCGCCCGCGCGCCCAGCGGGACATCCTCTGCGGGCGCGCCGTCTGGATTGTCAGGCACCGCCGCGTCAAGCAACTTCTCCAGCGCGCCTTCCAAGGTGCCCTCCATTGCGCTCGCAGCGTCGCTGCCCTGATCAGCTGCCTCGCCCTGCTCCTGCCTCCTGTTCTCAGCCACGTCGCCGCCCTCGTCAGCCGCCCCGGAAGGCACCGCGACCGCGGCTGCTTCGGGAGCTGCGGCCTCGGCGTCGCCGTCGATGCCCCCAGTCGCTGCAACGGCTGTCGCAGAAGAGCTGAGGGAAGCCGATGGCGGAGTAACCAACGCCCCCTGCAAAGGAAGAACAGCCGCCCCCTCGAGCAAGGCCGCCGCCGGCGCCGCCGGCAAGCCCAGCGCAGCGCGCATCGCGGCGCGGGATGGGCGCGGGCCGCTGCACTCATCATCGGCCGTCTTGCCTCCCGCAGTCTCGGCGCCCGCACCAGAGAGGGCCGCCTGGCCCTTCGCCTGCTGCTCCTCAGGCATGGCTGCTGGCCGCTTCCTGACTCCTGCAGCGGGGTCGATGGATGCCTTCCTCTTAGAGCTTCCAGCGCCCATCGCCCCTTCCTCAGCCTGCTCCTGATTGACGTCCATGTCAGCCTTGACCTGTTTTTCCTTGCCAGTCTTGGCATCGCCCGGCGTAGCAGCATGCTTTCTCTTGTCTTTCGTTCTTTGATCATCGCCATGTTTATGTTTGTCCTGAAACTTCACTTTCTTATCATATTTACCACCATCGTGTTCCTTGTCTCGCTTCTTGTCTTTGTCTTTCTTATGGATGTGCTTCTTGTCTTTATCATGCTTATTGTGATTGTCTCGCTTCTTGTCTTTGTCTTTCTTATGTTTGTGCTTCTTGTCTTTATCATGCTTGTTAGCCTTATCTTTATGCTTATTGCCTTTGCCTTGCCCCCCGACGCATTCAGCCTTCGCCGCGGCCGCTGCCTTCTCAGCCTCCTCAGTCACCTTACCCTCCTCAGCCTCCTCAGCCTCCTCAGCCTCCACCTTTGGACCCAGCACCTCCTTCGCCTCAGCACCTCCCAGCCCCTCGGCCGCGCCCCCGCCGACGCCGCCGCCCTCGGAGTCCAGCGCCTGCCCTGCCGCCAACGTCGCACCACCGGCATCTGACGACGCCGACGACTCCGCAGACGACGGAGATCGCGCCCGCCGCGGAAGAGCCTTCACCAGGACAGACAACGGAACGTCGTCGGCGTTCGCCAACAACATATCGCAGCTCTGACGGCGGCCAAGGGGCGGGCCAGTGGCCAAGGGCCAAGGGCGCGCCAAGGCAGATCGCCTCCTCTGGGCGAAAAAAACAAGGCCCGAGCCAGAGCGGCCTGACACCGACGGCGGCGGCGGATGGGCGGTGGCGAAGGAACTACTCCCATCCAAATCAACGTCGTCGCCAACGAAAGCCCCAAACTCAAAATTCAAGTCAACGCCGCCGCCTCTGAAAACCTCATGTCTAAGGGCACCTGGGGCCCAGGGCGGGGCGCGCGGTCCCTGGGCGAGCGAGGGGGGCGGGGGCAACCTGTGGACTGTGGATCGCCGACGCGCAATGCGTTGAAGGCCCAAGACTATGAGTTGCAATGGACTCCAGGATACGATCAGCTGGCCAAGAGCCAAGAGCAGCAAGGAAAGGGAGGTGAAGGGGCGATTGCCGATGCCACGGGGGATCGAGGAATCGAATTGCAGAAGACGACGACGAGACCGAAGACCGAAGACGAGGGGGAGATGAGGATGAATGGGAACGGAGCGAGCTGCAAGACGCCGCAATAAAGCCTGCAAAGATGGCGGCTGACACCAGAGACCCCCTGACCCCTGTCTCCAGAATCACGTTGACCCCCTGGCCCCTGGCTCCTGAATCACCCCTTGACTCCTGCATCAGTCCTGACCCCTGGCCCCTGACTCCCCCACTGCGACTCCTCGTTAGAAGCGCGCCTTGATGTTCCGATGTTTTCAAGCAGCCGCCTTGCGAGTCGGCACGTGCTGCGGTTCACCCTCTGACTCGGACGCCCTGGGTGACCTCTCCCGATCAAAGAACTCGTCGAACTCTCTCGAGTCCTTGGCCTCGCGACGGACGGCCTTCCGCCGACAACGCGGCAAGCCCTCGTCCGAGAACTGCTCGCTGTGCCACTCAGGGTCCCCGTGACACTCCAGGCTCAGCCAAGCAAGGAGAGACCCGAGGGGCCTTCCTTGGGCCTTTGTGCGTCCTTGCTTGGCACCCTTCCTCTTATTCCAAGATCTGTCGAAGCCTGCGCCGCATTCATAACAGAGGGCATCGATAGACTTCCCAACTCTATTCAGTAAAAGCTGGCCGCGCCCATACGGCGAATAATGGCACGGGCCGCCCTTTGGCTTGGGGCCGTGCCCCGCAGCGGCCTCCCACTCCTCCTGATCGGTGTCCTGGGACGACGGTTCGGACCCCACGAACAACTCCGAGTCAGACAACGCCCCGCCGACGTGACCACCTCCAAGGGGCCCGACGCCCGCGCCTCCAGGAGCCCCAAGTGGCCCTCCAGGGGGCGCCCCGCCACCAAGCCCAGGGAACTTGAATTTAATGCCATGGTCGGGATGACCATGTTTCTTGGGCTTCTCATTGATGCCTTTGAGCCCCTTCTCGATCGAAGAAAGGTACGGGTCTGTCTTCGCCTTCGCCTTTCTCACGGCTTGCGGGAACACGCGTGCAGATCCACTCGCGAGAGCCGTCTTGAAAAGCTCGTCGTCAACAAGCCAACGATCCCCACAGTCGTCGCAGAACGTGCCCAAGGGCATCAGAACACAAAATATAACGATATCTGGTCTATCGCCTGGGAAGCCCCCGGCGCCCTCAACCAAGCCGAGTCGGGGGGCGAAGAGAAGTTTCAACGCGCAGGCGAAGGGCGAAGGCACGAGAAGGGCACGAGATAGGACAGGAGGGAGCGATGGCACGAGAGCAGGAGAGAGCATGAGAGCATGAAAGCAACGATGCCAAGAACGACCGACTCGGTTGAGGGCCGAGGGCGTTGCCCTGGAAATGGCCTGGACGATCCACGAGCTCCCTGAACAACTCCGCAATCAAACTCACGTCAACAACCCAAGAGAAATCCCCGTCCTTCTGGTCGATGCTCAGAACTGGGGGGGCGTACGAAGATCGAGCAAGGATAGCCAAACGCGGCCCTGAACCCCTGAAATGCCCAAGCGCGAAATGGCGCACCGCCACTGCATCAGACCCGTCCTGTTTCTCGGCAAGTAGGCAGTAGGCATCCCCTGACGCCGACCCCTTCAGCGACCTCCGCAATTCATTGGCCGCGACGTGGGCGTCGGCCAAGATGGCAGCGTCGCGGGAGGCGCACAGCCCCGGGTGCGCCACCGGACAAGTCAGCCTGGCGCGGGCGCGACAGCCAGAGATCTCATCCTGCCCCATGCCTCCTATCATCTGCCCCTGCCGCCTCCGACGTCCATCTACATCATCTTGCCTCCGCGCACCCGATGACCTACCCCCTCCTCTTACCTCCTGCTACATATTTCTGGTCTCTCCAACTCCGTCCTATGATCCTGCATATTCTCGTCTTGTCCTGCGTTCTGCCGTTGCTCCGCCACGTGCCATGTCCGCCCGCTCCCATGCCATGCCATGCCCCAACTCCGCGCCCACCCCCTTTCCCCGCCCTGCCCCCCCCCCCCACCCACCCCCAGTCCTGCTCATGCATTCCAACCTCCCCTTACAGTCACCTGCAACCGCATTCCCCCCTCATCCTCACCAACCCTCGGTCCGCCCTCGCTTCTCAAGCAGGCAGGGGGGGGGGGAGCAGACGAGGGCGGACACGCGGGCCGAAGGCAATACAAGACGAAGGACAGGGCGAGGCCGCAGAGAACGAAGGACAGGAGAAGAGTGCTGGTGAGAAAATGCAGCGCGTGAGAAAACCTCACACAAACAAATTGAGCTGCCTGTACTCGAACTTATCACTCTCCAAGATGGCACCCTGGTCCTCGATGAACGCGTCGCGCAACTGCATGGACCTGAAGAGCTCCTCGTACGCTGTGAAGCCTGGCAAGGCCTGCCCATCCTCTAAGCCGAGGAACGCTCTTACCGTTTCCTCGAACACCTCCAGGGGCAATGGATCGCGGGTGGCCCCCAAAGATTGCACCACGTTCTGGATCGCACAATCCTCTCGGCCAAGACCAAACGACGGGGCGTTCTCCGAGTCGCCTGGCGACCTGGACCTCTTCTCGGCGTGGGCCTGGGCAACCTCGGCTTTCAAGACGCCGAGTTCATTCTCATCCAAGTCGTGGAACTGCCGCGAAATCTGCTGAAGCCAAGTGATATATTCAGCCCGAGATCGCTTTGCACCCTCGCGCCCCTCCATCTCCTGGACCTCCATCTTCCTCTTATAATGAACAAAGAGGCCGCACGGCTTCGAGGTGCCGACCTTCGTCTTCTGCGAACGAATCGGAACTCCAATCTCGAGAAGCCGATCTCGAGAAACAACTCGTGGGTCTTGTCGGCCCAGGCGATGGTGCTCGGTAAGCAACTGCTGCAAGAAGCCCTCCCGACCCTCGCCATGCTGACGTCGTCGTCGAATCAGCGTCGCCATCTTCGCCGTCGTCGTCATCTCGACGGCGCCGCCGCCACCGCCGCCGCTGCCCTGTCGCCGCCGACGACGCAGCGATTGCCAAGTCACTGACGCCGCCGCCACCGACGCCATCAAAGCTCGAAGACCAACGAACGACTTGAATACACTACTTGCTATGACTACGACCTACTGCGCGCAGTGCAACGTCCCATGCCAATGCTTACATCGACGCCCGTTGCGGCATGATGAGGGGAGGCGGGGAGGGGGAGGTCGCGCAACGCTGCGGCGCTGTGCGCTACCACGTGTCACATCATAAGCACATGATCACATGAGCGCCAAGCTGACAAACAAGGAATGACTCACTCGGGAGGGGGGGGGGGGGGCGGGGAGGTACCATCCCGACCCCATCCTTGCTGGTGATGGTCTCGATCTCACTGCTCTTGATGTTCCCATTCAAGCTCCTCCGCATGAGCGCCAGCAACCTCTCAGACCTCATATTGGCAAAATTGAAACTCCAAGCGACGCTCCTGAGCCCGTTAGCAAAAGACTCATCCCGGGCGGCTTGCCTCCAATCGTTTTCATATACCCGCCTCAACTTAGCCGTGCAATCGGCGTCGACGCAACACTCGGGCCGAGAGAACGCATCCTTGAGCACGCCTTGACGATCTCTCTTGGGCAAAGCTGCGTTGACACAGTTGACGAGGGATAACGGAAGATCATGTAGCGGAAGAAATCGCCACCATGCCTGTGCTGACATATCCAGCGCCTGCCCTACAAACTGCCGCATCAACGCCTTATCAGTATGCAAATCGCCATCACGAAACGTATCGAAGAGCGGACGAAGCGGAGATCCTTGGCCGCGCCCAATTTTGATCAGCTCTCCCAACCACCGACGGCACTGAACAAATGGATTCAACAATGGAGATGCAAGGTCGTACAATCCCTTCTGACGCTCATCCAAGTAATCTGTTCTAGCAATCAAATGTTCGACCGCAACGCCGATAACGCACAACCCACCACGTCGAATCTTCCTCGACTCTGAATCGAAAAACTTTTTCGATCTCCATGCCTTCTTCTGAATTTTCAAACGCTCCTGGGCACCCATATCAACGGACCTCCCAGCGCCCTGGCCGCCCTTGCCCTGCCCCTTGACATTGGCATTGTTCGGCATCATGTCAGCCAGGGGGGAACGCAGCTCACCCGCCACCCGCCCAGACCCCGCCCCTCGACGCCTCAGAGGTACTTTAAGACCCGCCCCACATCCCCCTCCTCGCTCAGCTGCGGGGCCCTCCGCCCACCGCATCCACCCCGCCCCCCCCCCCCCCGTGGCCCATCGCGCCCCAGGACCCCAGTCTCCGCGCGCGGGGTGGGGGGGGGGGTCGGCGCAGCCGCAGGTCAAAGGGCTTGTAAACTGTAGGATGGCCAGCAAGAGGGCGGGGGCGGATTCGGAACATCAAGAATCAAGAGGGCGAGGTGGAGGGCGAGGAATGAGGAAAACGATGGCCAACAGGGCGAGGGAGATCAGGAATCAGGAGCGCGGGGCGGAGGGGGAGGGGGCAGAAGGGAACCAGAGGAGATCGCCACTCTGAACTCTAACCTCCGCCCTCCCCCCCACCGGGGGAGGGCTGGCGAGCAAGCTGTCGACCCCCCCGCCTTCCCAGCGCGGCAACCCGAGATGCATTGCTCGAGGAAGAAGCCCGTGGAGGAGGATGCCCGCGGAGACGCGCCCAGCAGCGTCAGCAACGCTGAACCAATCATCAATACTTGGCAACGCAGTTTCAGATCCCAACAACAAATCCAACTCAATACATGCAGAAAACTGAAGCAATCTAATATCCGATGCACTCAAGTTGCGCCCTGCAAGATATATCTGAACCTGCTGCCTTGTCCAATCCCCATTGAAAGCATCGAGAACCTTCAGGGCCTCTGGGGACCCATCCAAGGCGCTCTCGAGGTCCTGACCGAATCGTTCTATGTCAGGTTCACCCTTAACAAAAGCACCCCGACGAAAGAGCGTGTGGAGCAGCACGGACCTATTATGCAAGCGGTACTCTGGCGGAGGGTCCCCAGGAATGATTTGGACATCCTTCAGAAGCTCCCAAAGCGCCGACTGGATGCGATTCTGGTGCCGTATGTTCGCGCGCGTGACGCACACCGCATACACATCTCCCACCACCTGTTTCTCTTTCCCCTGGATGATACGGCGCCCCTGATGCCCCGTGCACTTGCTTGGGATAAAGCCTGCATTGTCGGGCAGCTCACGCTTCACTTTCTCCTGCTTTCGAATATTCGACGATGCAGCGTCTGGCACTTCCAAACAAAATACGAACTTCAGATCTTTGCACAACTTGGTAACACCGCACACCCCAAACTGCGGCACAATCGTTTCAAGTGCGGAATACAAGCACGACGCATTGCAAGCCTGAAGAACCACTGGGCGTGAGAAAGCCCGAACACCTGCCAGGTGGCCGCCCTGGTCGATGTAGACCATAGTAGCGCCAGCGGCCAGAAGATCCACGATGCCAAACCTGCGACCGCCCCCCCAACAAAAGCCAAATGCATCAACAAATGATTCACGCGAAGACTATCGCAAAGAAGCAAGGCACCAACTAGACGGAAACGGTGGGCAGACAGAGTGGGCACAGCACCATGGATTACTCATGATTCGCGAGCGCAACGAGACAGCAGGAGGGAGGAGGGATGAGGGCGGAGGAGGAGGAGGAAGAGGAGGAGGAGGAGGAGGAGGAAGAGGAGGAGGAGGAGGGGGGAAGAGGAGGGGGAGGGGCGGGGAGGGGAGGAACCATCGAAACCCCGCACTCCCAGCCCCCCGCCTGAGCAACCTCTTCGCTCCGAAGGCCTTGATGTAGCGGTCGTACGCCACGACCTTCCACTGGCCCTTCTCGTCCTGCATCGCACAC